CTGAAGACATAAAGATTTAAAACTCCTCACAAATACACAGAATCGTTCTTTAAAGAGACTCAATCATTTTCCTCAAACAGCTGCTCACTGTAGAGTGTATCAGCAAATAGGGGTAAACTGTGAATGCACGGGGAACTATTTTCAGCAGCGGATGAATCGACATCTGGTCTCTATTGAGTATGTGTAGCAGCAGGATGGTGTGTGAGTGGGACTGAGTCAGAATCAGCTCCATTGTGTGTTCATGGTGTGTGGTCACTGATAGGTTAACAGTGTCTGGACACAGTGGAGATGCAAAAAACCCACGGACAGACTTTGACAATAACACCAACATAAAGATATTCAGCATTTATCATTAATCTGTTTCCTTTTTGCTGACACGTGCTCTTTGCGTGGCTGATGTAACGTACAGCTACATTTGAATCGACTCAAAGAGGATGTCCAGTTTTTGTGACCTTTATTTCATCTCACTTTTAGAAAGTGGGGATGTTTACAAAAAGTGAACATTTTTTATAAAGTTTCCACCTTTATTTGTAAAACGAGGACATTTCTGAAAAGTGAGGACAATTTTCAAGCAGTAAGAATAATTCTGGGAATCTGAGGATGTTTTTGCAAAGAGAGTAATTTGTGGAAACAGAGGAAGCTTTGTTTGTTCCCATTCAGTCGGCCAGTGAGACGGACAGTCAGGCTACAGCCTGTCCACACTCTGTCAATGATTACTGAACAGACCTTGACCTGGTATATTGTTGTTCAGAGCAGGGAAACAGGCCCAAGGACCAGCAGGCTTCAGCTCAGGAGCTGCTCCTCACACGCTTTTACGTTCGTTTCACTGCTTCAGTGACAAGAGCTTCCAAAAATCTCTTCATGTTTTTATGTCTGTCAAGTTAAGACAAACTGAGAAGTCAGGAAATTTTTAGCAAGTGAGGAAGTTTTTGCCAAGAACAGTTTTATAATGCTTTAGAAAACCAGGATATTTCTAGTAATTGAGTACATTTCTGTAAAGGAGGGACATGTTTAGCCTCATCATAAAGGTTTTAACGCTTTAAACAAATTTAATGAGATAATTTGGCTCCAAACTAAGTGCAGCAGCCACCTCCCTCACACAACTGTGTGATCAGGGCCAGGAATGGTGAACCGGGCTGAACAGGACAGGGGAAGTCTACCAAAATAAAAGTTTGTGACAGGAAGTTGCCTCGAATCATGACAGTTGTTGTACTGTGTGGAAAAATGTTGCTTCGTTACTGTATGGTAATGCAACACGACCAGTCTGCATGTCGAGGCACCACGAAGGTTGAGAAACTCTCATGTGGAATGTTGTAGGACACTAAAGTAACACAGGCATTGTTGTTGGCTGTTTTCCAGTGAGCACCCCTAATTTCCCTGATTTACATATAACTGTCAATCACACCCAATGGAATCCAATCAGAAAGCAAGTGGGGACGGACTGACGGGGACGCAGAAGGAGACGGCGCTCCGGGCGCTCATGCAACGCACAGGATACCAACTGCGGCAGGTAGGAATGAACCACTTCCAGGACCTGATATCTGAAATCGACCCGCCAGGTTGTGGAGAACACTGAGCTCCTTTTATGACCTTTTTAGAAGCTGTGACGTTTTCAAAGGTCAAAAGGGAATTTTTACAAACAAGACTGGTCTTCTAACACAAGGCACTGTATATTTGCAGGCTGAATATCCACATCCCACAGTTCAACGTGAAGCTATACCCACTGGTAGATTCTGATTGACATGTTTGCTTTAGTTGACTGAAGAGCAAGTGACTGGTGTTAGCAACCCTTGACTCTCAAATGGCAGAAATGAATGAAGGTTTTCTGTATTTTACCTGCGGTGTGTTTCAGGAAAACGGTCAGCGGAGGTACGGCGGCCCCCCACCTGGCTGGGACGGCCCACCACCAGAAAGAGGCAGCGAGATCTTTGTGGGGAAACTCCCCAGAGATCTGTTTGAAGATGAACTAGTTCCACTGTGTGAGAAGGTGAGAGACAGGGGTCCTGAGCAACCCACAGCATCATACCAGTTCACATGTTCTCACATCTTTTAATTTCTCTCTTCCTGTCTAGTTTGGTAGGATCTACGAGGTGAGAATGATGATGGACTTCAACGGGAACAACAGAGGTTACGCCTTCGTCACCTTTGGCACCAAACAGGAGGCCAGAGCAGCCATGAAGCAGCTCAACAACTATGAGATCAGGTCAGGTTTTATTCTTTTTTCATCTTTGCTTCCACTGTTTTCAGTCTGCTCGACAGCCTGGGAGGGACTGTGTTCATCCAAGAACTACAATCATCAGTTAAACACTGTAGCAAAACAGAACATGCAAGCAACCACCCAGAATTGATATTGATATTGTGTGACCACAAAGCAATATCAACCATGCTGAGCATCTCCATATTCTGAGCATTTGTTAGCACTAGAAACAGGTCCTCTAGAAAGACTAGCCTTCAGCACCACCTTGTAGCGATTGGGTTTTAATGCATTGTGCCCATCTCAAATTCTGTAGTGATGTCAGTCAATTCAGTTATACTTACTGAACTGTATCATATTTACCTTTCATTTATGACTGCTGTTTTGACGAACATTTCGCTTTCTGCAGGAATGGCCGCCTCCTTGGAGTTTGTGCCAGCGTGGACAACTGCCGCCTGTTTGTGGGCGGGATTCCTAAAACCAAGAAGCGTGAGGAGATCCTGGCTGAGATGAGAAAGGTCACTGAGGGGGTTGTGGACGTCATCGTGTACCCCAGCGCCACTGACAAGACCAAGAACAGAGGCTTCGCCTTTGTGGAGTACGAGAGTCACCGTACAGCCGCCATGGCCCGCCGCAAACTGCTGCCAGGTAGAGACTGAACACTTGATCAGTGTTTTGGTCACAGTTAGGTTTTTGTAAGCGGTGATGCCTTTAAGGTCAACGACTGTTAGTGTGCTCAAGGAAAATCAAACATTTCAGAAGATCAAACCAAGACAAACAATGAACACAGTGTAGAAATCACTTAGAAAAACTGACACTGAAGAGGTTTTTGTTCAGCAGTTTACCCTCACATCTTTCATATCAGACAGTTCATGTACCTACCCGCAGGTTTTCCCAGTTTTCTCAACATTTTCCACTCAACAGTAACACTAACAGTGGGTGAAAAGCTGGTCTTCAGTCATTTTCAAGCCTCAGCATGTTGGTTTCAGAACCAAACTGGAAGCAATGGCTAGTTCCTGTGGTGCTGGGATAGAAGACACAAGCAGCTGTGGTGGCTGTTGCTACGTTTAAAGCAGCCAAAGTACCATCATTATCCCGTCAAATCAAATTGTCATAAAAGTAAACACAACATAATAAAATATGTCAAAGTCTCACTCTGACTGTAAGACTGTGCATTCACCTGCCAATCACGGCCTGTGTCACTGGGTCAGTGTCCAATCAGCAAAGAGCTCTGATGGGTGGATAAGATAAACATAGATAAGATGGCGATGATGTCATCACATCAGAAATAACCATAAGTACATTCAAGCCTCCTGGTGCTTCCAGGCTGTGACTGGACATTTAAACAGTCAGAGGATTTTCCTGTGGCTCGGAGTCTTCATGCTGTCTGGGAAGCAGGGCTGCTTCTCCCTGAGGCTACAGCTGAGAGATACAGTATTATTGCTTCTGCACAGGAAGATCATTTGCATAACCGAGTTTGTGCAACAGTGAAGCCAGACTGACCTACAGATGCTGAGTCTCTGGTGGCTCTGTTGAGTAAAAGGTATAGAAATAGTACTGATCAGGTAACAGCACACAGATTTGTATCAAGTACAGGAAAATGTAATGGCCTTGTGTTAACCACAGACCTTCTTTTAGGCATCTAACCAAAAATCTGTTCAAAAAAACCCACTGACTTCAGGGTGAGGGAAATGGAAGTGCAAAAGTTCTGACTCAGGGGTTTTTTGACTCACTACTGCGGCACTTTACAGCTCAGCTGACTAAGCATTACTGACAAACAATCACAAACTGACACAACCACAACCAATACCCGTGCTGTCTCGGGCCCTGTTCATCTGTCCTCTCAGGTCGTATTCAGCTGTGGGGTCATGCCATCGCCGTGGACTGGGCGGAGCCTGAAGTGGAGGTAGATGAGGATACTATGGCAACTGTTAAGATACTGTATGTCAGGAACTTGATGCTGCAGACCACAGAGGAGACCATCGAAAATGAGTTCAACAGCCTCAAACCAGGTATAACAGAACACAGCGGTCATCTCTCAAAGCTCTGATGTCAGGTTGTGACTTAAAGCACTGAGACGGACAATAACATAAAACTGACAAGTTAGTTTCATTCAAGTTTCAGGTCTGTGTAACTTGCTTTTTAAAAAAAAGATGATTTGTAACATAAAGGATATGTGTAGTTAATGGGATACAGGTTAGAAATAAACTGGAACCAGTGATCTCTGTGGCTCCAGAAGGCTGACAGAAGATCCATACGTGATTTTACACAGGTGCAGTGGAGCGGGTGAAGAAGATCAGAGACTACGCCTTCGTCCACTTCGCTCAGAGGGAAGATGCCATCAACGCCATGAAAGCTCTCAACGGGAAGGTCAGCAGAAACAGGAAACCAACACAAGATCACATTTGTTTCTCTTTATGGCATCAAAAGTCAAGTTTCTATTTTCCCGAGAACAACAGAACATCTGACATGATGTTGAGTTTGAAAAATAATTATTTCATGATGCTTGACAGAGTGCAACTCAAAATAATGCCACTCACTGTATTTTGCAGGCTCAAGTAACATGGCCACATAATGAGAACTTCTAAGAATTTGTTTTTTAACTACATCCAAGTGTAGAACAAATTTTGACAATAAATCAGCAAAAAAGTGAATTACTCCTTATTTCCATCCACTAGGTGAATGTAAACGTAACCAGTGCTGAGATAAAATGACAGAGGCTGCTGTAGAAGTCCTCAGAGCAAAACACAGTTTCAACAGGAATTAAACCTACTCTTCTTTGAAATTGGGTGTATATATTAAAACACTTGACAAAAGCTGCCCGAGACATAAAACTAGAGCCCAAAACAGCAGTTAGCACTAATCCTCTGCTAAAGCTCCAAGGAGCAGTGACTGCCTGGCAAGTCACACACAGGGGACCTCACAAGCTGCACCTGGGCCTCCTGGGCCTCCTGGGCCTCCTGAGCCCGGTCAGGATGTTAAGGTAGACTGGTGTTTAAGGTGGACCCGTCACCCCTGCAGAAGAAGATTAAGTGATGAAAGGAGCTCCAGGAACTCTGACATTCCTGTTGGTTTCATGTGTTAGTGAGAGGAAGGCCACAGCCTCCTCATCGCTCCACACACAGTGTTTATCCACTGAGTCAGCTTCTTTTTGGCATTCCCACTCTGTACAGGTCAATGGCAACACACCTCACTGATGTACTTTACAAGTTACAACAAAGCAACGCTGCATTCTCACAACATGACAGAAACACAGACGGATGATGAAGCTGATGTGTCTCTGTCTCCATTTCCTTTATAGAGCTACGATTCACCAAACCTTAAAACTCACAGTGTGTAGGAGCTTTAATCAGATGCCTGAAGCCTCAGATTACCTCATTTTAAACAGAGAGAGAACTGTGGATTGTGTCATCCATCTCTTACGGTGTGGATGTTATGGAGGAGTGGTTACAACACCAGCAACTCATTATACAGTTGGCATGTGAGTAGTGTAAGCATTCCCCTCCTCCCTGCAGGTGGTGGATGGGTCTCCTATCGAGGTGACTCTGGCCAAGCCGGTCGACAAGGACAGTTATGTTCGTTACACCAGAGGGACGGGAGGACGAGGAGCGTCGCTGTTGCAGCCTGACTACGCCGCCTACACTCTGGGACATGTATGACTCTGCACACAACATGAGCTCTGACACCAGGTTTCATCTGAATTCCCATCTCGAATCTGATACGCTCACAGTTTTGGTCAGGTGGAGGCAAAGGCTCTGTCATCAGAATGACTTATGGGAGAATCCTTTTATAGCTGCCCTTCAAGACTCATCCCTGAAATTGTGAACATGTCTGCGTACAGCCTTACAGAGCTGCCGGCATGGCTGGTTCTTAGTTTTGTCGTGGATTTGGTTTTTCATGGTCATTTATGTAGCTATGGTCCTTCTTAAAGGGATTTTCTTCTTACATAGAAAGTCATTTTAGCATATTTATTCATTTATTTTCTTTATTCATGGGGCTTGCTGACAGAACATTGCATTATTGTGTAGTTGGCGTACATCATTTTTGGATGTGCTTCTTTTTATCCACTTCACATTTAAGGTTTTTCTTAAATGCAGCTCAATATCATGCATTAAAAGGCTTCATTGAGCTTTTTCTAAGGAGCTGCATCAGTGGCTTGGCGTGCTTTGAAAACTATGCCCACATATAGAGAAATCTGTCCTAACATGAAGGTTAAGACACACACAGAGGAAGTGAGTCTATCGTTCAGACAAAAATATATATTTAAAATTGTTAATGTAAAAATACCAGAGATTGAATGGTTTGTTTTTTTTTACAAGTTTTCTTTAATAGTTTTACTAATATGAATTTAGTTTTGATCATTTTGAGGTTTAGATTGTTGTCTTGAGCTCTGGTAATTATGACCTGTGTCTCACTATTTCCTGATTTGTTACAAACAATCAGCCACTTAAACTGAGAAATTATGTTGCTGTGTCCACAGTGAAAGAAATCATTCACCTCGGTCCTAAATAAATATATCCATCCATCCATCCATTTTCCTCCGCTTATCCGGGACCGGGTCGCGAGGGCAGCAGTCTAAGCAAAGATGCCCAGACTTCCCTCTCTCCAGACACTTCCTCCAGCTCCTCTGGGGGAATGCCAAGGCGTTCCCAGGCCAGCTGAGAGACATAGTCCCTCCAGCGTGTCCTGGGTCT